GATGAATTAATCACGTATAAAGACATCTAGGATGCAGCTGGACGATCTAGACTTCGCAGATGATCTGGACCTACTATCGCAATCACAACAATAAATGCAGGAGAAAACGACCAGTGTAGCAGCAGCCTCAGCAGTAATAGGTCCAAATATACACAAAGGGAAAAGCAAGATTCTCCGATACAACACAGCATGCACCAATCCAGTCACACTTGACAGAGAAGATTTGGAAGATTTGAAAACCTTTACATATTTGGGCAGGATCATTGATGAACATAGTGTATCTGATGCAGATGTGAAAGTGCGGATTGGTAAAGTAAGAGCAGCATATTTACAACTGAGGAACATCTGGAACTCAAAACAACTGTCAGCCAACACCGAGGTCAGGATTTTCAATACAAATGTCAAGACAGTTCTTCTGTATGGGGCAGAAACCTGGAGAACTACAAAAGCCATCATCCAGAAGATACGAGTGTTTATTAACAGTTGTCTACGCAAAATACTTCGGATCCGTTGGCCGGACATTATTAACTATAACGTACTGTGGGAGAGAACAAACCAGATCCCAGTGGAGGAAGAAATTAGGAAGAAGCGCTGGAAGTGGATAGGACACACATTGACGAAAGCACCCAACTATGTCACAAGACAAGCCCTCACATGGAATCCTGAAGGCCAAAGGAGGAGAAGAGGAAGACCAAAGAACACATTACTTCGGGAAATGGAGATAGACATGAGAAAAATAAACAAGAATTGGATGGAACTCTAAAAGAAGGCGGAGGACAGAATGAGTTGGAGAATGCTGGTCGGGGGCCTATGCTCCATTAGGAGTAACAGGCGTAAGTAAGTAATTCCGTATAAGATAATAGGTCTTAGATATTAGTGTGTAATTCATTCATCCATTTGGTTAAAGAGCCTTTATTGGCATGGTAGCTGATATCAATTCATGATGAAAACCATAAATCTAATTCTTAACTCTTAATCATCAAAAGTAAATCCTAATTCTAGTTCCTCATCATGGTTTATAACCATCATTTAGTCTTAGTTATTAGGTGGACATTCTCAAGGTCACTTTAGAGTCTCTCAAAGGTCGTCCATAAGTTATAGTCTCACCATCTAATATTTTAAGTTCTAAATATCTACAGTTTATCTAATGTTACTAGAATAAAAAAGTACAACACTGATTTTCAGCAAAAATGGGTAGTACTATAAGTGGAATTCAGGATGCGCGTTTCTTTCTGTTTGGGATTCGTCATCTGGGTGTACCTGCACCTCCGGATTGATGTCCGCTCTGGGGCTCGAACCCAGTATCGTTCACTTCAAACGCCATCACGTTGTTCACTTAGCTACTGAGTTCTGTATAGCCACCTGCTTGTGCAGTGTAGTAAAGTTTAAATTCACTTGGTGTTGACTATCTTTAGTCTAAATCAGTAATTTATATTACTAAGCTAAAATAAATAACATTTTGATATATAAATGTACTATTTAGTAAAACAGTAAAAATTCAATACAGTTGAAAAAAGAAAATAGAGGAAAGATTTATTAAAACTAATTTATCTCAATAATTAAAACAAGTGCCATTAAAATTTCAGTAGTATTGTGATGTGGATTAATTATTATCCACATAAGCAGAATATAACGGTGGTCATGTAATAAACAGAACACGAGTGGGGACAATCGAATTATATTTAGCACAAAATTACAGAGTTACTTGCTAAAATAGAAAAACAATACTATAATACTTAATTTGCAAAATGTTCAATAATTGTCTCGAAATTTATTGTTCTTGCATTCCCATACTATTTGTTTTCTATTCCCGCTCTTCCTTTCTTGATCTTCCCTATCTTCTGCCGCCAAACATTACATTCTTGACTCGCGTCATATACTACTTACATCAATATAAGTAGCACGCATCACAGTCAGACATAGAATGTATTTTAGCAAAAGATCGATAAGAGAGGAACGGATACGAAACGCAATAGGTATGAAAATGTATGAACAATGAAATCTGAGACAATGGACTGATATTTACAAAAGGAACAGTGAAGTATGAGACGATGGATTGATATTTTGCAAATTAACTATTTACTATATGGTTCTCAGATTTTATTGAGATGCTCTGTAATTTCGTATCAAATACATTCAATTGTCCCCACTGATGTTCTGTTTACTCCATTTAAGTAGTTATGCATTTATAATTAATTGAAAATAGCTCATCTTAAGAAATTGTGATAAACAGTACAAGATTTAATCAGTTAAACAAAATTGTTATTTTTTGGCAGAAAAAATTAATTAAAATTTATTACGTCATAGGATGAAGAAAAAAAGTTGTTTTTCTATCGAATAAATCGAATTCTCTATATACTTTTTGGTATTTAGAAATTCAATATAAATTAAAACAAAAATAGTTTAGATTTTGAAAGGGCATGTTAAAATGTTAATTATTAAGCATTTGTATCAGAAAGGGTTTTTTGGAGAGTGTAGTAATTTCAGTAGTGGGGATCATGAGTCATTTGAGGCTAGACCACCACGAAAAACCTGAGAACACTGGAATGACGTTTCGTCCTGTTGTAGGACTCCTCAGCAGTGCTCATCCACGATCCCGCCTCGCGTGATTCGAACACAGGACCTATCAGTTTCGCGCACGAGCGCTTAACCTCTAGATCACTGAGCCAACTGGCATCTAACGGTGTTAATGTCTAACTTCAACTAATCCACGAAATTGAGCGATACATCCACCATTGTCACCAGTGAGTTAGTATCTCACAACTGATCCGGTTGAACCCCACTGGTCACTGCTTCTCACTAGAACTCCAGGAAATATCTGTTGAGGCGAGTCACTAGTGAGCATATGTTGATTAGTATCAGAAGCGAAGGAGTCCCACAATAGGACGAAACGGCCGTCCAGTGCTTCCAAGTTTTCCATGGTAGTCTAGCTTCAATTGACTCATGATTTCAACTTGTGGAATTTTCTGAATTAGATGAAACAATTGTGAAAATCTATTGGTTATATTTAGAGATAATGAAAAAAGTTAACTATTACATCATCAAATAAAATAAAATTTTCTTTCCAATCTTTAAACGAAGGTGATTAAATTATTAACATTCATTTTATAACATAATTTAATAAGCTATTTTTGTATTTTTAATTAGTAGTGGTTCTAACTAACATGAGCACAAGATCACGTTTGTTGATACGCACCATTTTTCATGATCATACTCAATTATGTGCTGTCTTATGAATGGATTTTATTAGATATATGTATACATATCAAATAGACAACTTATTAGACCAAATTTTCAGTTTATTACATTGAGTTGAAACATATCAATCAATATCCTGTATTCTACAAATGAGTAACCGTTTCTATAGTTATGATGGCTGTTTTATAGTAAATGCTTTTTTTATTACCAGTTTCGCGGATCATTTTTTGTAGGTTTACAGTGATCTTTGAAGAAGTATCACAGTTAAATGTTTATAATTTTTAATCATATTTATATTTGTATTCACTGTTACATACAGTAGAACACTATTTCTGTTAAATTGAATATTGATTTCAAAAAGAGACTAATCAATTTCATTCTTAGATGACAATAAAAATAATTCAAACTACCAATACAAATAAATTAAAATTCAACCCACTGAACAACCCAGTAGATAAGTGAACAACGTGATAATTTCTGAAACAAATTGTATTAGGTTCAATTCCGTGAGTGAATATAAACGTCTTGCTGTAGTAGCTACATCCGTGTATCAATTCTCAAAAAGAAAGAAATTCTCGTCTTGGATTCTATTACTACCCTCCAACTAAATCACCTTTTAATGCTTGTGACAATCGGAGTCTTAGGGCAATTCACATGAGATGCACCTATGTTAAAAGAGACCGATCAATCGCAGTCTTAAACATCTGTGTAAATTTTCAAACAACCAATTCAAATTAATTTATCTATAATGTTTAAGATTCAGGGTTTCGGAGTGTTACTTTACCTGATCTTAATAACACTGAATGTATTTTTAGTGGGTTTGCTTAGTTAATCAGTCATCTCGATAACCGTTATTATATAAATCCCAATGGTGTTTGAAATCGGAAGGCAGTAAGGAGCGGCAACTAGAGTTTATTAGCGGATAACACAGATTACAAGGCTAAAAACATATCAAGCGAATTTGAAGCAGAGAGGCGAATGTGTGTGTATGCTAGCAAACATAGAGGCAAATTTCTAGTTAAATCGAATAATGGCAAAGCGAGGCAAAGGCTATCAATTAGATTCTAGTACATATATATATATGGGAAAAAGAATGAATCATCGAACGATATTTAAGCTAGAGGGTGATAGAATTAATCCGTGTCTGTTGTGAGGCAATTACTCGCTGGAGACAATGAAGTCGAGCAATATCGTGGATTGGTCAAAGTTAGACATTAACACCGTTGGATGCCGGCCCAGTGCTCTAGAGGTTAAGTGTTCGCGCACGAGATCTAAGGCTCTGAGTTTGAGTGGCGCATGCGCGACAGTGGATGAGGAGTCCCAAACTAGGATGGAATGGCCGTTCAGTACTTCCAAGGTTTCAGTGGTGACCTGACATTGAACCAGCCATGGTATCAATCTAAGCTCAACAATCTCTATAACCTTTTACTGATAATATATGAAATCATTGTAATCATAAATCGTTCAATAATAAATATATTTTTTGTTATATCCCAATGAGAAGGGGTATTGTGGAGATTGTAGTAACTTCAACAGTTGAGATCATGAGTCAACTGAAACTAGACCACCATGGAAAACCTGCAAGTACTGGAAAGCTGTTTCGTCCTATTGTGGAACTCCTCAGCAGTGCGCAATCACGACCCCGCCTCGCGGAATTTAAACCCAGTATCTATCCCAATGAGTAGAAGACTATCACGTCCAATTTTGGCATGGTTACCTATAAACTCATAAGTCGTTCAAATTGAAAATTTAAATTACAATTAATAAATTGGATATACATAACACACACAAAAATGACTTACCTTATTATATGTTCGCCAATTACGATATTTTGCTGGTATTTTCACTAAACAAAATCGATCTAATGTAATTAAAAATACAGTATATTGACTTGTAAGACATGCTGAAAAATCTAATGATAACCATAAATCACAAATTAAATGACCTAATGGCCAATAACCAAGTAATTGATATGTAATAAATAAATTCATAGAAAATAAACCAATTAATACATCAGTCATAGCTAATGATGCTATAAAATAATTACTTGGTATACGTAATGAACGTTCAACAAAAAATGCAATTAATACTACAATGTTACCACCAAGTGTAGCAGTTGATACGGTTGTTGCTAATAATGCTATTATACTTGTTGTGAATGGTGGAAAAATACTGGTGAATGTGTAATTCATTAGCTGATTAGGAATTATGTTTATGTTTTATTTTTGAAAGAAAAAAATAATTAATGTTTTTCTTTGTAGATGATTAATTTCTTGTTATTTGAAATAATGTTCTATATCACCAGTTGTACTTGGCTATAAGTGAAAATGAAAAAGTGAATAGAAATAATAAGTGTACGAAATTTAAGTACAATTAATATATATATAACTGCGAATAAACTTTATCTGGCCCTTTATATACCAAGTTAGTAGATGTTCACTCATTCGTTGGTTAAGTTGCCTGTTAGTATGTTTCACTAGCAGAGCAAAAAAGATCTGTACAGTAGATACTCTAAGTCAGGAGCTTGAATTTATCAACAACTCACTGACCGAGATCGGCTACCTCAGTGCTTTCATTAAGAAGTACATGTATGACATCATAAAGAAGTCGAAGATTTCGAGTGTTCGTAAGAAACCTTTATACATGAAAGTACATTTCAGCCGGGATGTGGCTAGTGATACTCTGAAATATAGGTTAACTAAAGTAATCACCAGGATGTTCTACGCAGCCAATCTTGCGTTGACCTTCTCTTGTCGACCAACGATGTTTACTTAAACGAAGGATAAATTACCTGAGTTGGCCTCTTCAGTGTGCATTTACAAATTCAGCTGCTCCTGTGAAGATAGTTATATTGGGTGTACTACCAGGCAACTTAACCAACGAATGAGTGAACATCTACCAAATTAATATATGTGTCAATGAAAATTTGAATGGTGTAATAAGAAGATGAAGATTATCAAAATTGTTTTTCAATACATAAAGGGGGTTTTGACTGACACTTCAATAAACCTGAGTATACACCCTGGACAACTTTTGAGCGAAACTACAAAAAAGTGATTTAATATCAGTCTTATGACCAGTCTCAACTATGTGTTTAACAATGGAAGATGATGAATGTTTGTTACCTGCTCTTATTGGGTAATTTGATGTGATTTGTTTGTGTAGCCATTTTGGTACATATTCAGAGAGCATATGTATGTGTGGGAACAGACACATGAAAATTGATTAACATATTGGGATTTGACGCCGTTTAGATTATGTTATGGCATTTGAAGCAAACGTAATTGGGTTCGAGTCCCGAAGTGGATGTCAACTCTGGGATGCAGGTACATCCTGCTAACGAGTCTCAAATAGGATGAAATGCGCATCCTGAATTTCACTGCTCGCCACCATCCATCTCTGCTTATAAATATTAATTTGCCCGTACTATATAAATGGAACTTACTGCTCAGTTTTGCATGATTATTTGTCAAATTAATACCTTAAAGTTTTCTATGGATATACCGTAGTGTATTAATTCATCCAGAATCATTTTTATTTGTGAATCCTATGTAGCTCTAGTTAACCTGCTTCTTTAACTATCATGTTCGTAAAAATTGAATCACTTAATCAGAAAAAAATTATAATTGTACATTGATGTAATTGGTTATCGTCACAGTTGTAAACCAAGCAAGAATGATAATAATTTAAGAATACAATGAATTCATTCTAGTATGTTGAATGATCTTTGGAAATTTCTGAACTAGAACTCCGAAGAGTTATAGAAAACACTGTCATGTTTAAACTGAATTCAGTTGTTGACTTTAGAATAACTTATTCTTCTCCAATGGACTACTTATCTATTTATGTTCTTTTTAATTACAAGTATTTTGATATTTTGAGCTTACTAAACTTACCATTTTTTTATGTAGCTGTCAATGGAAAGCCGACAATTACTTAATATATTCCTTGTGTTCTGTATATTTTGTTACATACATACTGTGATATCGTAAATAGCGATGTTGATCGATACTTGATGTATGAAAGTAACATACTTAAATTGTTTAGTTAAGTAATATAAACTATTTCATGTAATAAAAATGGTAGAATGCTGATCAAACTAATACAGTATAAGCCATTGACGTTGCTAAGGGAATTTATGAATAATAAGAAATGATTCTTCAGTGTATTATAGATGTCAGATAATAGTGTTTTCACATTGAAAAAAATGGTTTATTTAGCTATACGAATATATTATTAGTCAAACGTGTCACCTGCATAGATTAAAGATTATAAACATATCAGATTTTATGAATAACAACTCAGAACTCATTATACAGGCTGGAATTACAGTGGCTTATCTAAAAAGAATATGTACTGAACTCAAATAATCTCTTATAATTCGATAGAACAATAAGAAGATGGAGTTGATCTGAAAAATGTGATGTAGTTGCGTTATACGTTTCGAACAATCTGGTCACACATATACTTGGGAAGATACAAACAAACAATACCAAGTGATTTAAACTTCAGCACATTGCACAACTTAGTGACTATGAGGACTCACTATCTAAGTGGATAACACGACGGTGTTTGAAGCGAACGGTACTGAGTTCGAGTCTCGGAGTAAATATCAACTCTGAGATGTAGATACATCCAGCTGAGGAGTCCTAAATAGGAAGAAATGCTCGTTCTGTATTTCACTTCTAGCCACTATCCATTTTTGCTTAAACACTGTGTATCCACAAGGCAACTAATTTAATAAAGAAAACTTTTCACTGTTTTATCCTGTTGTTTTCTGAGTTAGAAATTTAAACAACCATTCATTCGTTCACTTATTGTCCATACTAGAAATATACATCATAATTTAGTGAATTTTTATGCTTTATGTTATTCTAGGTATTCAAAATTTGGGTAAGAATCGAGACAAGGTTTTTTCCATTTTGTTTGTTTTGTTCATAACTGCCCCGCTGAGACGTTTACCTGCTGACAATATTAATATGAATTAATGTATTTTTTTATCAATTACTTTAATCATCTTATAGTTTATATAATGCGAAGAAATTCTTAATGGTCACTTACGTATAGAGTTTCAATCTAAATAAACCAACCTGTATAACAATTAATGAATCATAAACCCATCATACATTTTGGCCGATAACCTAGAAGTTGCAGAATATGTTCTGTTTTTAATTATTTACAAACTTGAATGGGAGATTTGATAGTCCAACTAAGTTTTAATGTATCTAGCATTATTACTAACTCGGAAAGAATTAAGGATGTAGTGATTTACCAAGTGGTATTAAAAATAGTTTCATTAAAGATCATAAACTACTTATCCTTAATGTCGAAGGACTGTATGAAGTATTAAGCTGACATTAAATAATTCATTATCTGGTGATGAACTGCAATCATCATGTTGAAATGTATTCGAAACGTACGTTCTATCCTGATTGGAACTGATGAACGTGATGTAACTGAATTTGGGAATCGATCATATAACTGTAACTCAAGCCCATGAAAAAAATGAACAATAATTTTAATATTAGCGTAGTCATGTTAGTATCGTAGTCCAGTGAAGTACCCAATTCCATTTAAATATATGGATAGCAGCATCAATCTAAATAAAACCATCTTCAATTTATGGGTATCACTGTTTCTTTGATTGGGATTCCTTGTTTCATTATTAAGCATTAGTGTTGAATAAACCAGTGTTAGAAGTAGATAGATCTTCAATAATACTCAGTATTCTATTCGACAAAAGCATCATGAACAGTTAAATCATCTTAAAGAATGAGTATTCATGTTTCACGTGCAATATCTTAGAATCCAACTATATTAACTAAACATGTCTATGAATACTTTTCCAAACAAATATATACTTGTGGTAGGTAAACAATTCACATGGTTTGCGAGTCACTTAGTCAGTATTAAGTTTTCAATTGTTTCAGCAAATCTACAACTAGTAACTTCTTTATTGCAATGGTGAATAATAGGCCATGCAAACTTCTGAATCATAACACCAGAAGGGTAGATCAGTAGACACACGTACCTCTGTTGTTTAGACTTATAACTGACGTGACAATTTAAGTTAGGTACACATGAGCTCCAAGTACCCATAATTATAAGTCAAAAAATAAATTAAAATTATAACTGTTTGATAAATATGTATTATAATATGCAAGCTAATTAACCAAATATTAATTACTTTTCATATTGCCGTTTACTTGACTTTCTCTTAGGAGTCAAACTAAATCAACTTAGAGTTGACTGTGTAGTACACTGGTAAGATTGTGCTCTTTTTTAACGAATAACTCAACTTTCAAGTCACTAAATGTTATTCATCTATAAATGATTGTTTAGTAAAAATGTTTTTAAATTCTGTCTGGAGCTTTCGAGTCTTAATCTGAGATTTGTAGGCCATTGATATTAACGTTAACAGTTAATGTTATTAAACGACTGAGATTTTCGGATTCCATGTCATTTTAGTTATCTCACAATTGTCTAACTGATAACTGCAATTTTTTGAATTGTACTGACCGCTCGATAGAATAATATTTAAGCAAAACAAGAGCTACAGTATTTACAAAGTATCGTGAATTGATTGGATTTTCTTGCCTTTGCTTTGTTTAGGTTGTTAATTGACATTTAATTAGCAGAGCTGGTTGCCTTTTTTGATGATTATTGTTTTATTAATTTTTTTTAGATAGTGAAATGTTTTCTATGAAGTTAGAATTTTCAAGAAGGACTACTCTGGATACGGTCTTAAAATCATTATACCTCTCGTTGACCAATGAACATAGATGGAGTCAATTCGAAGTAGGTAGAGAAATAATTTAATATATTAAACATATATTTGGTTTTATACTATGTTGACAAAATTCTATAGCTTTCTATTTTGAAAAAAAATGTATTTTTACTAGAGAAGCCCATCCATAGTTGTATATGTTAACAATAAACAATTTCAGCAGTTTAAAAATCCCCATAGAATATTCAAAAACGAGGAATATTTGAGCGAACAATTGTTTTCAATAACTTCATCATCAGGCTCTACAGTTATAAGTCCATAATTATAATATTTTACAAAGGCCAAAAATAAGGCATGTATTAATGAGTTTGACAATGTTATGTGTTAAAAAAATTGGTGAACGTGTGCATCTGTTACGATATATATATATACATACTTCAAAAAATTGTAATATTTGCAAATTAGAAAGGTCATTCAATAAAGGTCAGTAAATTGTTCAGTCACAATAAGATAATAGTACTATTATCAGAATGTTTTGTGGAGATTTTTAGAAATTTTCACAGATTGAACTCATGAGTCAGTTGAAGCTAGAC